GTCTACTACCACCCGCCGCAGCATCCCCTTTGTGCTTAGCATAGTTGCGTACCCTAAGAAGTTCCCTTTGCTTGTGATATCGCCTGCGGCATTAGCGCTAACCACAACTACAGCAGCCGGGTTAGTCTCGCCATGCTTCCACTTAATGCAGTTGATTCCGCACTTCTGCATACGGTCTACTGTGTTGTTAATAAGCTCTTGATACAGAACAACAACCACAGTAACGCTGGCATTGTCCATGCACGCTGGCACAGTAAACAGCAAGCTCTTGCCTCCGCCCGTTGGAAGCACAACCACAAGCGGCGTCTGACTGTTAAGTACAGCATGCAATGCCTGCTCTTGCTCCACAGACCAAAAGCTAATCTCCTGTTGCCTAACCACCTGCTGCATTGCCTTCTTAATAGCTTTGTCTTAATTGTCTTGCACGCAAATCCTCTGAGGCTGTAGTCCTGGCTCTTTCTCCCTGCTCTTGCCGCTAATGTCTTGCTCTCGCGTTCGCTTTGTTCTATAACAGCCTAATTCCCTCTTATTTTCCTTCTCCTTCTCCTTCTCCTTGCGTCCCCCTTCCACTTCCTCCTCTTGCTGCACTACCCCAAACCTACTATCAAGTCCTAAGAAGCGGTGCCACATCGTGCTAAGAGGTCGAAACGCCTTAATAGAGCGCGAGCTGAGATGCTTGACAATGTCAATCGGCACACTATAGTTCGCTAAGCCCATGACTGTCGTCCGCGAGTTTTGTAGCTCTACTAAGTCCTCGCCTTCTTCGTCCACCTCAGCTTCTTCAATCTCCCCAACATCGTCCTGATACCCTTTGCTAAACAAGTGCCTAACCGCAACTCGCCTAATGCCAACAGCTGTGTGCCGGTAGTCCTGTGTGTGTAGCTCAACGCCTAGTCTCTTGCCTGTCTCTTGCTTTAGCGCCTGCGTTAGATGGTCTGTTGACCACGGCCCTTGCTCGTTCGCCCAGATGTAGTCGATGCGTCCTTCGCCGAGCACCTGCACCTGGAGATACTCCTGGAATGGCCGCAAGTATACCAAGTAGATGGCCATGACCTGCCCCAGCCGCGGCGGAAGAAAACGCGGAACCACCTTTGGTCTATCCCACTGCGACTGAGACTTGTGATAGCGGACAACAGTCATAATTTGGCCGTCTGCCACAAAGATATTGCGGTCCTGCAGCAGCCCGTTACGAAACCTCATTGACAAGATCTCTGGCCCTCGACCCGGCTGTCCAGACGTCATGTGCACGCACACTAAGAGCAGCGTTAAAAAGCGGTTGACCTAACGCAAGTACTGCTCAACTCGCTTAATATGCCACTTTCCGTGATGCTTTAGCCTACGGCCTTGCGCGCTCTGCTCAACCTGGGTTAGCATCCAGTATAGCTTGTCCGCTAGACCGTTCTCGCGCCGCTCTGCAAACCACCAGCCTCGCTGCGTGAAAGTGACTTCGTCCACCACGTGCGCTAGATCAATGGAAAACCGCTCTTTGGCCTCTTTAAGCCATATCAGCTCCTGCCACAACATCTCCTCTACTTTAACTACCATGTCCTGAGCCATCTTGCGGAACTGGCTAATGTAGATGGGTCGGCCGTTTAAGTAGAAGATCTTCTTGTCCTCAGACCAGTACGCGCTGCCTGAGTTGCCGTCTGTCAACGCAACATGCTTTCTATACGCCAGCAAGCTAATCACTTAGCTTATTAGACTGTACAAACTGTCGGCCAGATACTTTAGTCTCTTGGCTAGGAAGCGCTCACGGTCCTCGTCAGTCTGCTTGCTGCGCTCAGCTGACGGAAGCAGCTTCTTGACGCCCAACACGCGTATGCAGTATGCTACGCCGGCGAGCATGTATGAGTAGTGTTTCGCCCTGCGCAGTCGCCGGGCCGTGGCATTGATGCCGAGCACGGCCAGAAAGTGGACAAACCCGCTGCTAAACGGCTGATCGCCTACCAGCTCAAAGATAAATGACGCCAGCACGTTAAGCAGCGCGTCCTCTAGCTCAACCCTTTCGCTGCTAGGGTCACCTAAGGCCTCCCACAACGCCAACGCCAGCTCCTTTTGCCAGCCCTTCCAGCAGAAGAGCTCGCGTGCGTCCTTCATCGTGTCTACCTTCGTCCTGCGGCGGTGGATACTACTGGATAGG